CCTGAGGTGTTCCCCAAGCAAGTCCGAGCTTCTCCTTTACCAACCCACTAGGCGAGGGCCCAAGCCCAAAAACTGGCAGCCGATCTCGAAGAGTGATATCAAGCTCTACACCGGAGATGGCAGTGCAATACCCAGAGTTGACTCCATTCGGGTCCTCGGCATGACCATCGAGTCTAATGGTTCCAACGGCAAGACTATACTCAAGCTCGCCGCCAAGACGGATAACGCGGTTCGGCTGGTTCGGCGGGTGGCCAACCGCTACCAAGGCCTCAAGGAAGACAACCTAATCCGCCTGGTCAATGCCTTTGTGCTCTGCCACTTTTCATATGTCGCGGCCATGCACAAATGGCAGCGTGCCGAGCGTGACAAGATCAACGTCTTGCTCAGAAAGATTACCAAGCGGGCCCTCGGTATCCCGATCAGGACGCGCATCGAGCGCCTGCTCCAGCTCGGAGTACACAATACGTTGGAGGAGATTGCCGAAGCGCAGGAGCGGGCCCAACTCTCCGGCTGAAGTGGACGAGAAGATGAGACAGGTACCCCGTGAGATTCGTGACCTCATCACCGTGGCACCGATACCGAGGAATGTCCATCCCGAGCACAATCGTGGTAGGCGACGGGCTAGAGCTGCCACTCTTCTCAAGCAGATTCACAGTGAGGAGCACGGCGTCAGCTTTGTCGACGCAGCCGCGTACCGTGGGAGCCGCGCCTTCTCCGCAGTCGTCGTCGACTCCAAACAACAAATCACCAACTGCGCATCGGTTCACACTGACGATCCGACGGTTGCCGAGCAAGTGGCCATCGCCCTGGCCATCCTGGAAGGTGAAAGGGAGGTCATTTATAGTAACTCTAGGTCAGCTATTCGCGCTTTCGAGCGCGGTGTAATCTCCAAGAAAGCCCTCCGCGTGCTCCAAAGTGGTGGCCGCGACGGCATCAAGCACCACGTACTGATTTGGTTTCCTGCACATGTTGGACAGGTCCAAGGCGCTCCCCCCAACGTTAACGAGTCTGCCCACGAGGCCGCGCGCGCACTAACCGACCGCGCAGGTTCCGGGCAACGATTCGGGGCCAACGGGGTTTCGGAAAACAGGGACGCGCCTGCCACGTACAACGAAATAACAAAATATTTTTACCTCGCGCGGAGACTATATCCACTCCCTCATCCAAATCTTAATAGGCCACAGGCCCTTACGCTCAGACTACTGCAGACCGACACGTACCCTAACCTGAGATCTCTTCACGCTATTTATCCTGACGTGTTTCCCAATGACGCTTGCCCCACATGTGGGGATGTATCCACGCTGGCGCACATGCTCTGGGAGTGCAAGGCAATGTACACTAACCCCAACACTACATCGGTCAGGTGGGAGGCGGCCCTACGCAGCTCCCTCCTGGCCGACCAACTTTGGGCCGTCCAGCAGGCCCGCGGAGCAGCCGATAGGCTTGGCCTAACGGTCCCGACGTGGGAGTCGCCCGCTGCGCGCTGACGTGCGTCTTGCAGGACCTCAATAAAGTTTCGCAACCAACCAACCAACCAATTAGGCTTTCGTGTTAGTAGTTGTCCTAGGTATGCATGCTCCTGTATACGCTTTAATGTACAGTTCTCAATCTTACTCTTCCTGTTTCTCCATGCTATTTATTGTAACACAGCATCTCATATATGCAAATGTAAAGTGGGGCAGGGTCACTTTCACTGTCCTGTGTTTCTCAACATGGCATCTGTATTTCTCTTAACCATATGCGGTGAACACAAGATACTGACACAAGCCAAGGGGTCGATGTCCGACGGGACAGTGAACGTTGACACCTCGTGTAAGTTCGAGCTATGGCCATTCCCGTACAGCGGCACAAAGCAGGTTTTGAGCCTGCAGTGATGTGTCTCCTATTGCATCATTATTCAGAAAAGTTTTCATTACACGTATGAGCGCAAATAACAATGCAAACATGACAAAAAAAAATAGAGTAGACGTTGCCAATACAACCTCTGACAACACCAAGCATGAAGGACCGACAGAGCAGCGTTGCACATGCCCACACACAAGCTACACCTTTATGACAACTGGCCGCACCTGCCAGCCAATGATGGAAGGCATCACCACGTCGTTGCCACTTCCTCGCATAGGGGGGGCCCCCTTGGCTGCACTCTAGCCAGTATATTCTAGGCACGCTTTTTTTTTTTCGGCCTGCTGGCGTTATGATGCATGTGATCTTTTTATGCACTGGCAGCCGACCGACGATCCCTGTCTGCCTGAATGACACCCGTGCTATGATTAAACAAAAAAGAATTTTAAGGGCTTTGTTATTTTTTGCTGGACATAACATTAATTAGAAATAATTATACAAGAGAGCCTAGAAAAGTATAGAGAATGTGCATTGTAGTAATTGTGGTGTAAATGTGAAGAAAGTGATGTGGCAAAAAGAATAACTTCCCAACGGCAGATGACTGCTGCTGCAGCTGCAAGTAATGCCTTGTTTTTTGTTTTTTTGTCTTTACTTTCTTCACATTTATATCATAGCAACTATAAGTAACATTCTGTTACGAGTGTGCTGGCATCCCTTGCTCAGACACTGAGTGCGCCCGCCAGAAGACACTGGGCGCGTCCTTCACAGACGCCAGAGGCGTCCGTCAGAGATGCTGCGCGCGTCCAACAGCGGGGCTGCATCCTCCTCCCTGAGCGTCTCGGCAGCCTATAAAAGGCCGGCGCATCCTAGTACCGGGCTGCCTCCTCGTCCACGCTCTGTACATATGTCATAAATATAAGCGTTTTGTTTGCTCTGGCTGCCTTTTGCCTTGCCACTGCCTGGATGCTCCCTGTTCCAGTCCATTGGTCCTTGCGTCACGCTACCCAAGAGACCACGGGGCCCTCTCGTAACCATTGTCTATACGTTCCTTGGCTTTCTTGTCTTTTGTTCTGATTAATGTTGTCTAGCAAAAAAAAAGGAACTAGCCCTTAAAATTACTCTTCTTTCATTTCTCTAATGATTGTAACATCGGAGGTATGTGCGTGCATAGAGTTCAGGATGCCATCACGATATCAACGATGATAGACGCAGCAGCAATACGAGTCACAGGTGCCTCACGACTTTCAAAGAAACAATCTTTTCTCCTCTCTGGGTCTTTCGATAATCCTAAGCGTGCACCATGATGTCAGCAATGCTGTTGTCTTTTTTTTTGGGGGGGGGGGGGGGGAACATACAGCTAGAGTTTATCTGCAAGGTAAGGCAAAAGGACCTAAACCTCCTGGCTAGGCCTGACCACACTGGGGAAGCAGAAGCAACAGATTTCAAAATAACTAATCAACTTTGAAACATAGTGAATAAACAAGGGCATAATAATTAATATAGTAAGCATGTAATTGCTAGTTACAGAAGTAACAAATTGACAGGAATGAACATAATGAAATGAATATAAGCACAAATATTAAACAAGCAACAAAACAACGCATAAAGTAATAAAGCAACTAGTTATACAATGACAATATTTTGTAACATTATGATGGTGTCATCCTAACATTATGATTATTATTTATTCACATTTACAACAAAACTTTTACAATACGTCTGCGTCTGCAGCAGAAAATGTGTTTATCAATAAATGTTAAGATTTTGTAATTGTTTTACAATTTTTGATATTTCCACAACAGTTGGATACATATTGTCATCCACAAAAAAGAACCTGATGTCTGCTCGCAGGTACGCATGCTCGCTGCTCTTCCTCTTCGCACAGTGAGGAGGAGTTGGAGAATGGAGCATATTGAAGGAGAGAGCGAAACGAGCGAGGGCGCTTTTGGGTGGTAAAATGCGGGTAACTCCGCTGTTACGGCACCGTTTAAAAAAATTCTCATGGCTATGTGTTCATTGTAGACCAATGCACAACTGCAAAACTGCAACTAAATTATGAGCTCTGGCTGTTTTGGGGGCCCTTTAAGAATATGCTTGAGGATTCTCTGCAACTTTTTCTTTATTCTTCGCACTGCAAACAAAAGTAAAAAGAAATCAGTCGTTGTGTTTAGAGGAGCACTACAAGACTTTTTCAGAGGTCAGAAAATGCTACTGATCGGTAGTGGATGCTTCTGAGAATGTGTGAGCCAAATAATCAGCGTAGCATGAGGCAGAGAAATTATAACAAATTTTAAAGTTAGCTGCGAATCGTTCCCTTTTTTCCAGCAAATGATGCCATATACTTGAATGGTTTCATTATATCGCCAAATTCGCAGTCATTGGCTGGTTCGAGCTGCATAGTTTCCTAGACTACCATGCATCTGATCACACTGAAAGTAAGTCATGCGTTTGAAGAAAAAAAAAAAAATGAAGTGCTCAAAGACATGCGCGTGACGTTACTTACTGCACCCCATCCCATCCCTCCATCCTAATCTTCCTATACACTTGTCAGCATGAGAGAAGAGAGAAATCAGTTGTCATGATCATTGTCAGCCTGACTAGCCCACTGCAGGACAAAGGCCTCTCCCATGTTCCGCCATTCAACTCAGCCCTGTGCTGGCTGCTGTCACTTGATACACACAAACTTACTAATCCCATCTGCCAACCTAACTTTGCGTCTCCCCTTCATTCGCTTTCATTCTCTTGGAATCTAGTCTGTGACCCTTAATGACTAGCGGTTATCTTGCCTTTGCGCTACATGCCCCGTCTATGAAAGCAATTATAGTATGCAACAAATTCTTGTAACACCACTCATGCTGATGGATTCTAAAAATATTTACAGTGCTTGATTAGTGAAGCAATAAACTCTTTCAGTGAAGCCATTTGATGGCTACCTGGAAAAGTGTTGCAGGGCCACTTTAAGGGGGCATTATTCTAGCCGTGCTTGTTCTGGCCAACTGGCACTTTCAAAAAGTTCAGGGCACATGTTGCCGCATGCAATTCGCCAACATACTGTGCTTCAGGTTCGTGAACACTGTTTTCATAGCTTTCCTTTTCTTCGATAGTTTGCTCGTTTCCTTGATAACGTTTGTAGTAACAGTGTGCATATTGTCTTACAGGAAAACGCCAGTGTGAGTGAAAAGGGGCCAGCAGGAGCAGCATGTGGGGAAAGCACCTCTGCGATGCATCTCCACAAGTAGCCCCTGAAACATCAGTAGGCATTGTGGGTAGCAAACCAAGGATAAACTCGCTTGTCCATTAAAACTCGGTCGAATGGAAGCCTGCACATGCTTCATGTAATGCTTCCTGTAAGACGAGTCATTGTTCATTCCAGCGCATTTCCTTGTCTTTTAAACACTGCATCTCCATATATAATGTTGCATCGTTTACTACTCATGCTCATTGTTTTACTATGGAAACTGAACCGATCAAGGGAATGCAGGAATTGTGTCCCAAATTATCAGTAGTTAAGCGAAAATTCCTAGGTTGATTCACTGTTTTCTATTTATGTACATGTGTGTGCACTTCATTAAGGTGTAAAATATTCATGGCCATAATCAAATGTAATAAAAGTATATATAGAACACACTTTGTTTTCACTTCACGGCATCGGCAGCAGCGTTTTGTTCTGGCATCTTTGAAATTCTGTAACTATCTGAATGGCATTTCAAAAGCCTATGCACAATCCAAGGTGTTTAAAGCAGTGTTGAGTGTTGTTGGTTCCGGCAGCACAGAAATTGACACTCGCACTACCTGCATATATGTCCCGATACGCTTCTTTGCCACTTTCACGTAGTCTTGCATACTTCTAAGTGTGTCTCAGACAGGGGTGATCCTTGAGACAGCTGTAATCACTATTTTGTAATCGTGTGGGCCTATTGAAGTGTTAGTGTTTGATTGTCAGCTCGACACTGTGGCAGAAAAATGTTGTATTGTTGTGATGCAAAGCATGGCAGCTGGAAGTGCAAGTAATGGCGAATTACATTGAGAGAAGAGGGGTAGAGGGGCAGGGCACTGAGGAGTGGGGCGCAGAGCACTGAGAGAAGAGTCACTGGATCTGCCACTGGAATGTGGCATGCTCCCGGAGAGCAGTTGAGAGGGTTCGAGTGGGGAGACCTAGTGATTGAAACATTCGAAGCCCCCAGCATTCTCTGTGGGGCAGCAGCAAAATACATACGAAGTCAGTCACATGTTCATTATTCTTATACATAGTATGTTTGTGCAAAGGTGCATTAGGCAAGCATCCAGCTGTCGTCGTCATTAATACAAAATAGTGGTGTCAAACCACACGTGCTTGCTACCACTGCCGCTGCGCTTGCCACCTGAAAATAAATTCGAAAACTGTGACGTTCAAAGGTCACATGACTATCGTTGAGTGTGCCTACTCCGCTTTTCCGACCAGAGCACTACAAACGGCTCCTGACTGCTCTAAGCGCAGTGGAAGGGCTCTTGCTCTACCAATAGATAACAATGCTCTGACCTATGTTCGACCACTGAAACATACCAGCTCTGAAAAGAGCACGTTCAGGATGCTTTGATTTCTCCTGCTCTCACAATGGAATTCGCCATTAGAGGTAACTTTATAGTGGGTAAGTTAAAATTCATCATTCGTAAAAGGCAGCGTGTATAGGCACAGACGAAACAAAAGAGAAAAACAGGACTAGGTTTCCTCATGTTTCGTCCACTGTCCCTGTGTGTGCTGCACTTTATGAATGATGATTGTGTACCAACGGAGCAGTCATCAGAATCGAACCTAGTGTGGCACACCCAGTTTTTTTTTTTAATGCATCATTGTAAAGGGCTCATGAATTGAAACGTATATTTAATGCTATGTTATACCCCTACTTTCTTATGGGTCATGTCTAGTCTGTGTCATGTTGTTGTAATGCTCGCTTGTACTCTTGTGCCACAGTGAAGATTACCTTTAGTGGTTCATTTTGTAGTGACAAGAGACAGCTTTTTTTGACCAGCTCAATACGTTGACTTCGCAGTTTGATTTTCGGATTGATATCAGATCAGACTTTTAGCACATACCACTTGTAGCTTGTACACTTGAACGCAATGTCATTAAGGACACTGTGCACTCACAAGCATAGGTGTTCAGGATATTATCTGTAAGTGATGAACATATCTTCCTCATAATGTTCTTACTTTCCAGGTGACACTTTCTGTTACGCATCAAACGTGCACCTTTGAACAAAATTATTTGAGCTGTATACACATTATTCACTCATGCATACACCCAGGCACCAAACACTTACAACGCTCACTTGCAACTGTTTATTCATTGTACTAATGCGTGAATATATCTAAGTCTTTCGGCATATGGTGTTCACTTTTGTGGAACAGTGGTCGCAGTGCTCAGCTGCTGACCCGAAGGTCGCTGGTTCGATCCTAGCCGCGCCGAATGCCAGCTATACCCCCGACCCCACTGATCGCCGGACAACTTTCACCAAATATTATGGCGGCGCCTCCAGACCTGCACACCTCCCTCCCCCTATTTTCCTTCCCCCGTCTACCTGGGAGCATACATCCCATCCTGTGCCCAATGCGCCCACCACCACGCTACCCTTACTCATATCTTCTCGGAATGCCCGGCAAACCCTCCCCTGTGGGGCTCAGAGCCACTGAAAACATGGAAGGAATGAGAGACCTTGCTGCGCTAGACAGACCCTGCCAAGCAGAAGATCGCCATTGGCTGTGCAGCCCACGTCGTGGAACTACTCGTGAATGCTTACTGCAGTGGGGTCGTGCGGGACCCTGGAACGTACGTGCCCAAATCCCTTGGTTAAATAAAGTTTCACATCCTCCTCCTAGCCGTGGCGGTCTCATTTTCATGTAGATGAAATGGTGGAGGCCCTTGCATTGTGCGATGTCAGTGCACTTTTAAGAACAGCAGATCGCGAAATTTGCGGAGTCGTCCGCTACGGTGTCTCTCGTAAACGTATCGTGGTTTCAGCATGTAAAAGCCCTCATAATATTATTACTGTCGCACATGCACACAAACACTTATGAAGCCAACTGCACATGTTATGAGGAACATTCTTTTTTTTTCTTGCAGCCTAGAATTGACAAAGTTAATTTTGGGGGGGGGGGGGTGCAAGAGGGATGCAACAGTGTACTTATACAGCGGTGCTCACACTTTTTGATGAAAACAAGTCTCTAAAGCATCACGTGCTGTCATTATTGTGCTTCTGCCAAGTCTCTTCATTTGAGAAAAAAACGTGCCTCGCATCTCAATATAGCATACACAGCCACATAGATGCACCTCCTTGTCATCTCTCTTGCTAAATTTTTGGGCATGTCTTAACTGGCCATTAACACACCTCTCGGTCGGACCAATGTATACCTTGCCACAAGACAAGGATATTGAATAGGTGGCTTCAGTGAAACCTTTTCCGAATGGCCTCTGGTGCTTGTTGCAGCTGCGTTTTTTGCTATTGCAAATGTGTTGACCCAACTTCCGGAATATCTCGGGCTCTGCAAACATATTTGGTACTCCGTGCCTGCCTGCAACTTTTTCAACGAAGTTGTGGGCAGATAATTTTTTATATCGATTTACCAACTAGCCCAGCAACAAGTTGGTTTAAATATGCATCAAGGTATGAGAAAGAAGAATGATGTAAGTTTGTAGATCGGAAAGGGCCCAACATGCCCAGTTTTTAATTGCATTGTAACAGCCTGAGCGTGTTGCAGATTGAGATTGCATCCTTATAAAATGTTACGCTGTCAGCAGATTGTGGAGCCATAAAGCTTTTGACATATTTTGAAACTTTGCAAACAAGAGAACACGACTGCTTTGTTCAAAGTAGTAATACTGAGGGTAATCACCATAGTGTGATTACGAGGGATGCTGTAGTGGAAGGCTCCGTAAATTTAGACCATCTGGGCTTCCTTAATGTGTTCCAAAACCAATAGGCCAGCATGGCAAACTTGAGTACTGAAGAATTTTGAAGTCTTATACTTGGACCGGTTAGCAGCTACAAAGGAAAAAAAAAACATGATTAAGCCAAACCTATGCAACAGTTTCCTCTGCTCAGAAGGTTTTGAACAACTATATCCAAGGACATCCTTGCCATCCACTCGCTGTCAATTCTTTTGCCTCGCCTGCTAGTATGCTAGTAATCTGTAATAGGGCAAGTTAGCCTAGCAACTAAAAGTTAGCTGAATTCGTGGGATACTTCCAAAACTTTAGCTTTTGTTGTTGCTTGCAGAGATGGAGATGTCTTGAACAACGCCCAACCACAGTCGTCGGCCAGCCTGTAAACAGGAACCCACAGAACTGTTTAATGCTTCTAATGAAGCATTAAACAAAAAGCGAGGGTTGGGAGTACTTGCAGTTGGGCTAGCTAATTCATTCTGTGTGCTAACCATAAATGCTGGTCGCTGTGTGCGGAATGGTAAAAAATAAAAATGACAGCATATCTACGAAGTGAATGAAGATGAGTGGGGTGAAGCGCTGGAGGGTTTCATCGCTAAACCGTGAACCACCCATGAATATTGCCCACTACATCATCAAAAACGTGACAAACACTGTATGTATTTATACAAAAAAATTTTATTATTCGCAAATGGTACCTATACTTCGCTTCCGTTCTTCTTTCATTATAACGGCTTTATGGTCGGTGAAGTGGTAGATCGGTGATGGGGCGTAGTGGCCAGTTTGCAAGGACGAAGTAGTGGGCAGTTTGTTCGTCTGTCTGTCCATGCATCCGTCCGTCCATCTAATGAACACTTCAAGTACCGCCATCTCCCATCTCGCATCCCCTGTGGCACATACCGCTCTAAAACAATAAGTGCCACCATATCCACGAAGTGAATGATGATGAGTGGGCGAAGCTCCGGAAGTGAACCTGGTAAACCATGAATCCTCTGTACATTTTCCCCACCCGATTCTATTACAACGCTCCCCCTAGCGTACATCGTTGCACTGAATCGAACGATTGCCTTCCACCAATGACACGCGCCATACGTGATATCATTCTTATTTTATAACATCTCGCATATTTCATCATCAACTACAAGTACCGCCGTCTAGTTTATAACATCTTGCATCTTTTCATGGATGAATGGATGGATGGATTGAAGTGGCTGTACCCTTTAGATCGGGCAGTGGCTAACGTCACCTAGCCGTAATACTTAGCGAACCAACAACTAGATTTATCTTTTTTTTTCTTTAAATAGTGAAGTTCAGGTCTGGTACTTTGCAGTGAAGAGTTTAATCTTCACTCGTGCTTTGACTTTAGCCACCAATCAGATAACCTCCTTCTAGTTAATTCTACCCACTTAAAGTCTATTTTGCCCTCCCTGTCCCTAAACCCGAGTACTTTGAAAAACTCTGCACCATCATCCTGAACTATAAGGTGAAGCCCTCCCTTTACAGGACATTATCAAGTGTTCGGCAGTTTCTTCTTCCTCTCCACACGCACTGCATACCGTGTCTACCCCTTCATATTTGGCCCGATATGTCTTGGTTCGCAATACTCTCGTCCTGGCCTCAAACAGTAGAGAACTACCCCGAGTATTATCATAGATCCTTTCCTTGGTGATTCCCTGCTTAAAAGTTCAATAGATCTCTAGTGTGGACTTCCTAATCATGCCAATTCTCCATATGTCAGTCTCCGTTTCCTTCACTTTTTTTTTAACCGATAGTTCTTTTTGGTTTGGCCACCTGCTGTTTTCTAAGTATTTACCAGTCAACTTCCTGGTTCGCTTCCTCCATTTTGTATCGACATTCTTCATGTACAAGTAGCTGAAAACCTTCCTAGCCCAATGCTCCTCTCCCATTTCTTTCAATCGCTTCTCAAATTTTATCTTGCTGTTAGCTTCCCTGCCTTCAAATTATGGCCATCCCATATCATCTTGTACTGCATGACTTGGTGTATTCCCGCGAGCTCCTAAAGCAAGCCTACCTATTCCCTGTAACTTAATTTCTAATCTTGCTTGAACTTCTGATCTCATGCACAAGACCGCATTGCCAAACGTCAAACCAGGAACCATGACCCCTTTCTATATTTCTCTCACAACATCATACCTATTGTAATTCCACAGTGCCCTATTTTTCATCACTGCTGCATTCCTGTTAGCTTTAGTCGTTATGTATATTTCGTGCTCTCTTAGGTACTCGGTCCCATTGCTTATCCATACGCCCAGATATTTGTATTTATCTGTTATCTCTAGCGTGACCCCCAGTATCCTAAGCTCACTACTTCCATTATCAGTAAAAATCATGACTGCTGATTGTTCCTTGCTAAATGTGAAATCTAACCTATCTCCCTCATTACCGCAGATGTCAATCAATCTCTGCAAATCTTCCTTGTTGTCGGCCATTAGCACTATATCATCTGTGTACACCAATGCTGGTAGTGCCTGTTCAATGAGTTTTCCTTGTTTGACGAAAGAGAGCTTGAAGCCAAGTCCACTTCCCTCTAATTTTGCCTCTAATCCTTGTAGGTACATCATGAATAACAAGGGTGACAGAGGACACTCCTGCCTAAGCACCCATTTTACCTCTGCAGGCTTGGATATCTGTTTTCTCACTTTATAACTACCTTGTTACTTTTATAGATATTCTTTAAAAGATTAGTGATGCCATCTTCCACACCTAGTGTGTCCAGTATTTCCACAAGTCCTCTTGAACCGCGCTATCGCACGCTCCCTTGATATCCAAAAATGCTAGCCACAGGGGCCTGTGTTCCTTTTCTGCTATTTCGATGCACTGCATCAGTGAGAACAGATTGTCTTCCAACCTCCTGTGTTTCCGAAAACCATTCTGCAGTTCCCCCAGCACTCCCTCATCTTCTATCCGTGCCTGTAGTATTTCCTTTATAATTTGCATCGCCACTGTATAATTTATACTTTAACTATAAATTAAACTTTATAATTTGCAATGTCACTGTTATTGGACAGTAGTTGTTTATGTCAGCTTTGTCCCCCTTTCCTTTATAGATCATGCTCATCCTGCTAAGTTTCCATCCATCGGGGACTTCACCATTGATTATATTTTTGCTCACTGGCTCTATCAAAGTCTGTTTAGACTTCGAACCCAATGTCTTTATCAGCATAATTGGAATGCCATGTGGGCCTGTTGATGTACTACTAGGAACCCTTTTCTCAGCCCTTTCTCACTCTCGTTGTGAAAATAGAGCCACTGCGCTACTTGATCCATCCTTGACGATTGTGATGCATAAGGCACTTCTTTGTTGAAATTTTTCTGTCATGCTTGTTCTTATATATTCAATAGCTTTGTCCCCTTCTAACCTAGCACCTTGAGCTGTAGTTTTAAACCTCTGCCCTAGGCTTGTCTCATTTCTTAGGAAGTTTAGATGGTTCCAAAATTTAGCAGCTGCCTTTCTATCCCTTTTATGTACTTCTGCCAGCCACTGAGCTCCCTTTCTTCTAATCTTTTCATTGATCAAAGGGATGCATCCTTTCTACAGCTTAGAAAAATTTCCCATTTTCATTAAACATCATCTGTCGGTTCACCCCACTGCTTAGCTTGTGTTTCTTAGAGGCTGCCTGATGTTTTGGTATGGCTCTCTTAACTTCCTCATCCCACCAACTCTTGGGTTTGTGTCTTCTTTTCTGAGGTGACTTGTCACGTGCCTTAGCAAGCTCTAGCTCAAACAGTCTAATTAGATTCGTGTATGTCCACGCTGTTTTATTATCCTCGGTGATTGCTTTCTCAATTTCTTTAGTAGCTATTTGTATTTGCCTTTCTGAATAGAAATTTTCCTGTAGTTGGTCATCTTGTCTCCTTCCCACTTTCACTGCTCTTCCAAAACTTAGCTTGATGCGTTTGTGATCACTACCCA